TTGTGAGAGGAAGCTCCTGACCTGGTTTTTGAGAGGAGACGGTGTGAAGTGTCGCATTTGCTGCAGCGAGTGGCAGTGAGCCGGGGTAAAAGCATGGAGCAAGCTGTGTTTGAGAACAAGCTAATCCCTCGCTGGCTGCCTGAAATGGGAGAGCTGCTGGATCTGCTCCCTGGCCAACGCTTTCCAGCTCTTCTCACCCTCTCCAAACCCGATGTGCTGTCATTCCTCTGAGCTAGCCAAAGCATCCCCCTCCCCTGATCTCTTCCGAGGCTGTGCGTTTGCATCATTTCAGTCCTCTCCCTGCTAGGCGCCACGGGCCAGCCGTGAAATGCCAGCGGACGCGTGATGACCTCAGACGTGCTGGTGGCCAAACCTTGCCATAACCCCCTGGTTTGCCTACACACGGCCTTCCAACAACGCTCCATGCCCTGGCGTGCCTCCTGCTTGCTTGGAGGACAGACAGCGCAGCCTGCAGAGCGTTGCCGCACACCGTGGCCTCACTTCTGCATCACTTCATGCTTTCCCAGAGAATTTCACGGCACTTCTCTGAGCCTTTGTAGACAGGGTAAGTTCAACAGACCAAAGTTAGAAAACGGAAGCCCTTGACATTTTGACGGTCCTGATCTCCAGAGCCCTGGTGCTGTCCCTGGGGAGGAGAGGCAGGCCAGCTGTTGTGGCAGTGTGGGACCAGGGGACAGCATAGTGGTGAAAGCAGTGTGTCTGGGGGAGGGGCGGTGTCTCCGAACAGGGGCTCTGTGCTTCTCCGCTGGGACCGAGGGCAGCTTCACTGTGGGCTGAACAAGGCACATCTGATGGAGGAGCTAGCTGAGGAGGGCAGAATAGCACGTAAATGCTCAGCAAGACATTTGGAGAAGAGGGGCTGTATGAGAACAGCTGTAAAAGGCTTTCCAGATGTGGTTTTGCAGGAGCCACGATGCGAGAGAGGGCAGGAGGCTGCTGTGCTGGAGCAGCGCTGCAAGGCAGGGAGGGTGGGGGGCAAAAAGAGGGAGCGGGGCATTTGATGGAGAAGCCCGGGAGCAAAGCAGTCTTTCAAAGCAGGCTCTGGCCGAGGAGACAGGCGGGAGGTATTTCCAAGCTGAGGTGCCCAGGCCAAGCCTCACTGCATCATCCAAGCAGCGATGTTGCCTCCCAGCCCGGCACTGACAGCTCGAGCACGTGTCACCAAACCACAACGGGCAATGCAGCCACAAGGTGTAAATGTCGCTAATGAATAAATTGCCTTGTGCCTTGGAGAGGCTAATCCATCACGGCCGGGGACGGGGATCTGACAGGCTGGGCTATTTCAGGCACAGCCTGTAGGGAGTAGGAACTGCTTCATTTCTGAGCCATCCCCTCCGCTTAGGGAAGCCGGTGCAGGGCTTGGCTCTGCGCTGCTCCCCAGCTTCCCGGCCCCATGAGCTCAGGCTTCATCCTTCTTCACTGTGACTGAAGGAAGAAGCAGGAGAGGGTCTAGGTTAGCCTAACGTGCCCTGTCAGCTGGGCGGTGCGTGGACCCCGGCAGGGACTAGCTGGTGAGGGGGTTTGGAGGGAGGCCGCTGCATACAGGGCATGGGTGGTGTAGGTGCTGATGGGGGTCAAGCAGCGGGTCCCCAGCAACCAGGAGAGCTTGTGTCAGTTGGCTGGGGGGCAGCGCCGTGGCTTGCACCATGCGTGTTTCAGGCCAGTTTTCAGGCTGGGGCCATGTTTTGCAAACATGCTGTTTACTCCCCAGTTCAGTTTCGTAGTTTGTCCTGATAAGAGGTGACCTGGACATGCTCCGAGGCTGCCCCAGCACAAGCCCTCACCCTCTCCAGAGACATGGCTCTACTAGGTTGTCCCGGGGGCACCACACAGGCCCTCCCATTTCCCCCCTGCTGTTGAACCCCAGCCGCCAGCACCTCGGTTGGCTGTGCAGAGGGCCAGCAGGTCCCTGGCGGGCAGGGACAGAAGCTCAGCGTGGACGTATCCAGCCCCATCGCCGCAAAGGGATGCTGAACGCAGCAACCATTTCCACGCACAGCCTTCCCGGCGGCAGTCTGCTCCGCCACCCCCAGTCGGTGCTCGAAATCAACCTGTCGTCCTGTTTACGACATATGCCAGCGTGACACCTTGCAAGCCGATGCCTGGGTCGCTGTGAGCAGAAGTTGCCAAAAAGCCCGCCCCCCGGCCCCGTCCCCCCGCGCGCGGGTTGTGCTCAGAAGCCGCAGAAACGGGGCTTGCCATCTGCTGCGGGAGGGAGCCAGCCGGGCGCCCCTGCTCCGGCCCCATGGGGTGCCCACTGGCATAGTGGAAGTGAAAGCCCTTGTGTCATTCCCCTTCCTTTACTACCCGGCCACCCCTGTCTCTCCCCGCACCGTCACTCTGGCACAAACCCACGGGTGGGGGGGATGCTCCCAGCTTGGCTGGAGTCCCTCTGCTGCTGAGTGCCGCCCGGTGCTGCTCATGCTGTGTCAGCAGATGGCGGCGGGAGGGGACACCAGCTCCTAAGGAAGGCGCCGGAGCTTGTTCCCTCCTCCAGACAGAGGCCCACAGCTGACCCCCCCCTCCTCAAAGCCCCATGGTACTCCTTGGGTATGGGTCTCACGGGAGAGCTAAGAAGTCTGTACTGGCCCTGTGCCATCACGTGCCCTTTCCAGCATGGAGTGACCTGCTAGTGACAGCTCTGCAAGGCGTCCCACACCTCAGCCACCGGACCTGTAGGTGACAAGTGACCCATCAATGATGGGAGCGTTCACGCTCAGACAATCTGCTGTCACTGTCAGGGCTTTCATTTTTACCAACTTGGGCAGCGTTTGAAATGGTTCGAACCCTTGCGAACAGGCCGATAGTTGGTTTTGGGTAGGAGCGAGTGGTGCAGGCTGCTTGGTTTGGGCTGTGCTCTTTGGCCAAGAGAGGGACAGGAGGAAAGGCAAAGGTTCTGCAGGCAGCAGCTACCTGTCCAGGCGTTCCTGCGTGTGGCAGCCCAGGAGCGCGTTTGGAGGGTGCTCAGGGGATGTTAACAGTCTTGGCCATTTGCAGGAGGAGCCATGAGTATCCTGGAAAGCAAGTCCACAGTTGTTTTGGGGATGATACATTTTCCCAGGCCCTTTTCTTTCCATCCCTGTTCCTTGCTGGCTTTGGTGGCCAGTTCCTCCTCACGTGTCCGCTAGCATGTCTGAGGGATCTCATCACTGCCCTCCCAGCACGAGCTTTCATTGCACAACTGGCTGACCAGATGCAACCCTGTACTTGGAGCTACAGGCAGGCTTGCCCGGGACCAAGCCACCCCCATCAAGCCCCTGCACCACCCTCGCTGCTGGAGCTGTTCCTTCATCAGCCTGATGCTGATCTGGGTCTTTTCTGCTGTTTCTGAACACGAGTTCTCATCTCATTCAGGTGTGTCATTCAGTGGAAATATTTTGTAAATGCAAATAAAAAGAAATAAATCTATTCAATACCTCGGTCTCGAGGATGGGAAACAGGTAGTGGGAGATACCTGGGGGGGGAGGCAGGTTTCACAGCTGCTGCCACCGGTTAGATTTTCTGGTGGACGTAGCCCCTGGAGCATCCATGAATAGTTGGGAAGGGAGCTACGCAGACCTGCGAGGGCTTGGGGCTGAGCCCTGTCGGCACCCCTCGCGCGGCCACTGCCGCCGGGGACAGCCTCGCACTCCATCCTTTCTGATCTATAAAAGGGGTGACACAGCGCAGGTAAAGGTCCTGTTGGCCGCGGGCGTCTGTATCCATCAGGCAGAGCAATGCAGAAGCGGGTACGTGGCGAACAAATTTCTTTTTGTGAGCACTGGGAAACAGTTTTTACTTTTCAACTCTGTCAATATGATCTAGCTCTGTCTGTCTCTCTATATATGTACAAACAGTATATCACAATGTTGCCTTTTTTGTTGGAAATATCAAAGTACAAAGATTGTAAACCAAATCGGTGTAATAAAAGTTTCAGATGATTCACTGAAGTGGCTGCCAGCAGTGGGTCTGTGAGTGCTAATGCTGGGCAGGGCTGGGAGACACATGAAGCCCCTGTGTTGCTCAGAGGGCAGGAGGGGATGGAGGTCAGCCCGCTTGCTTAATTCCCCACTGACCTCTCCTGAGGAGGGGAGTCAAAGGAGCGAGGCGATCGGGTACGTGCCCTCTCCTGTCCTCAGGTGGCCACAGCCCGTGGGACAGAAGGAAGCTTCTCCATTTTCCTCCAGGCCCAAGGAAGCTGCTCCATTTTTAGCCCCCCGGGATGTGTGGGCCAGCAGTCCTGCAGTAACCCCTCTAGCCTGAAGTTACGTGAAACACAGATTTTTCTGACCGATTTGCACAGAAGAGCCTTACTGGTGAAGGTGAGCACCTGGTTGTAAAGAATTCACCTGTTCGCAAAGCAGGCTAGCACTGATCAATGGCATAGCAACCCAAAGTAGGAAACTGGTGGAGAGACCTATCTTCTATTGAATTTATTTTGTTTTACTTGTCACCCCCCATATCTGAGAGTCCAGACAGGTTTTGCTATAAAAACAAATAAATCCTTGAGCAGAACAATAGCCAGAAAAAGCTGCTGAGGAACTAGAAACAACATTACCTCTATCCTCTATGCATCTCACATCCCCCTCAGGAAAAAGCCTAAAATAGCTGTTTTCCCTGAAGGTTAGGTCTGGACTAGAATATTTAGATGGTGGAGACTTCACTTCAGCTGTTTTACAGGTGAAACATCATCCTGTTGCCTGAACTAAGCTTGCTGCCCGAGCACGTAAGATTTAGTCTCAGGTACAGTGAGAGAGAGAGCTCAAGAGGCAATTTGCTTCTGCAACGCTTCTGGAGTCCCATGAGGTCTAACGCCTCTCTCGTGTGAAGTCGGATGTTGTCTTGTGTGAAGTTGGATGATGGAGATCTGTGAAAGGTGGCTGCTGCTGTGGCGGCCACAGGTTGAGCGTTTCTCAGGAATAGAAATGAAAACAAGCCTCTGAAATACAGTATTTCCAACACTGCGCCTGCAAAGCTCATTGTGTTCTGGAGCATTTTCTTCAGAGGGGTGTGGCGGGGGGGTGCTGCAGAGACCCCAGCCGTGCCGCTTCCCGGTTGGCCCACACAATTTGGTGAATGAGGTACTCAGTCTCCTGACCCACCTCTGCCAGGCGGAGGTCAAACTCGGTCAAAGCCTTGTTATCCGCCAGCCCATCAAGCAGCTGTTTCCCACCTTCCTGCAAAAGGGTGAGAAGAGGGGGTTAGAGGAGGACATCCAAAAGTGAAGCGTGTTCCTCCCTCTCCTCCTCCCCAGAGCAACTTCTCCTGCACTTCCATCCTGCCAGTGATGAGGAGCCCGTGAGATAGTGACAAAAGTGATAAAGGCCTTCGCACAAACCTGAAATGTTGCTCACAGAAGTACAGAGAAGGAGTGCAACCTTATGCAGCACTCAGTGATATGACACATGCTAATGACTCCCTCTGGGGGTACCGTGTCAGCAGTCCTCAAGCTCAGGCTGGTTAATAGCACGGCTGGCGATGATAACCCGAGAGGAGTCTCTGCTCTCCCCTGTCCCCCGGTCCCCAGCTCACTGCTGGCTGGGGACAAAGGGCAGTGTGATTCGGTCTGCTGCTCCTCCTCTCTGCAGTGGCGAGAGCCCCAGTGCTGGCAGGCTCCTGCCTGGATGCCATTTCCCAGGCTGGGTTGGCTTTCCTGGGGGGAACATCTTATGCAACTGAAGTCCAGCCTGCATGGGACAGCAAATGAGATGTAGATACCCTTAGGGAGGCAACTCACTTTGGGGCATTTCCCTCCCTTACCTGAAGCACTGTCTTTAGGGATGTGACAATTCGACTTCTTTCCCCC